AGAAAAAGGGAGGCTAAATGTTGGGTTAGACGGCACTTAGTTGTACAGAAACCAGAAGTTAAGGTTTTAATTACCATTTCTTTCCAGACTCCTTGATATATTCAGCAAGCAAGTTGAAAGCGTTCTTGTACAAGATAACTAGCAAGAGGTGACACCCTTGTACAAAAAATTTTAATAGAAGCATAGCTTCTACTGATGAAGTTAAATGTAGCTGGTCTAAAGGAAAACAACAAACAAGCTTTCAACACACTTCCTATTGAAGTTTAAGGCTACCCACAAACCAAAACCCTCTTCCAAGACCCTACTCTCTGTTCTTTATGAAATTTTGACAAAAAATGGAAAATACAGCATACCCTATTGAAAGATCGACAACAACAATTGCTACCGAAAAAGAAAAGTTACGTACAGAAGTATGTATCTACTTTGGGATGAAAAATATGATGATTGGTTATCTCAAGAGGTTGCAGTATTTACACTGAGATTGCCAGAAGCTGGAAAACGGTGGCAGTTGTCAACTTTGTCTAGAAACAAGCAATTGTACACAAGAACTGCAGGATACTATGCCAAAAATCTGGTGAGACCGCAAAAGAAATTTTGAACTTGGATCTCTATTCAAGATTAGATATTTTATATATCTTAATATAGACATAAATAACTAGCGTAAAGTTTAGTCTAGTTTATTTAGTAGTACTATATAATTTTTACAATCTGGCATGGGTTTAATAGTGCTATCTTTGTTTTCTTTTCTTTTATTTTGTTTTTTTCTATTATATAATTTGTTGTTTTTTTTTGTTTTGTTTAGGTGGATCGAATTTGAATACCAAGATATTACTCTTTTTTTTCTTTTTTTGTACTTTGAATTTGTGTTTGTATTTCATTTTGTAAAAAGAAAAGATAATACTGATATGGCTTGTGACACTAGCCAATGATCAAAGGATTCATGCCCCTAGTAAGTTAGAGGCCCGGAAAGAGGTAAACGACCACTAGACGATGTCGCACCTGGGCTTTTAAGTCAAGTGAGTTACTGATTGTGGTTAAAGAAATAACTAGTTAAAAATTCTTGTAATTTTTGCTTGATTAATACCTTAATAAAGCAGTAGCAGAACATGCCAAAAAAAAAAAAAAAAAAAAAAACTAAATATAGTCAAACCTATAATCACACTCTTGGTTTTAAAAATTTGATGATTATAAAGAGTTTGTGTTTATATAGAGGGGTTGAATTTTATAAGTATTATTATATAAATTGGTTTTAAAAATTTATATGATTATAAGCAAATATGACTACAGAGGAGGTGACTATAGAGAGGTCTAACTGTATAATTTAATTTTTTAAACAAATTTGTTTAGATAAAAAAAATTTTAATTATTAATATATCACTTGTTGATATTACACCAGTATAAAAAAGCCAATCTAAAATTAAGAAAATAGTATGAAAATATTTAATGTTAATGGTAAGACCATGTCTCTATATGAAAATATTTAAATAATTTTTGTTTATAACAATTATTACAATTCTAACTCTGTGATATTACTTATGGAATCGACATGGTGGATCGTTTATGGCAGGTTTTGACAGAATCGGTTTTGGGAGGGCCGACAGTAATTAAGATTTTGATTTGTTACACTAGATTGTTATTTAAATTTGATCTTTTATCGCGTATATTAAAGAGATGATTTTATGATTATCGTTCACAAAAAATGCTCAAAACATTCGCTAGGGCGACTACGCCAATTATTCATACGGCCAAGCAAGTACGGAGATTTTTTGTAGCTGTGTAATGTCAAAAACATATATTCACGAGTATATATATAACAAGCTTATCTTTTCAAAAGGGGTTTCCTCGCTGTGTGAGCTCCGTTCCAACCACTTCTCAAGTGAGCTTTTATTACTTTCATAAAGTTTTTTGGAATAGTGTTTTACATGATATTTGGAATATGGAATTCAAGTGAATAATAGCATTTATTCAATGGATTTTTTTTTTACGATTAATATAATTTCTAATAAAAGTGGTGATTGGTATTTTATTTTATTTTTTTTTTTTTTGTACTTTTTCTTATTCTCGATTAGTTGACTACAAAATACGGAGGAAAATATACAGTAACATTAATCCCTGGCGATGGAATTGGTCAAGAAACAGCGGCAGCCGTAAAAACAATTTTTAGGGCTGCGAATGTTCCAATCGAATGGGAACAACTTGATGTTACGGGTCATACTCAAGAAGGAGATATTTTATTTAAGCAAAGTATTGAAAGTATAAGAAGGAACAAGGTAGCATTAAAAGGTAAGCTTCAAAAACAAAAAAGTCTTATGATTTATTTCAAATTGAAATATTTTATTAATGATATTATTTTCAGGCATTTTATACACACCTATATCCAAGCTGGGTCATCAATCATTTAATGTTGCCATGCGTAAAGATCTCGATATATACGCATCATTGGTTCTTATCAAAAACATTAAAGGTTATCCAACGCGTCACAATAACGTGGATTTTGCAATCATTCGTGAAAATACAGAGGGTGAATATGCAGGATTAGAACATCAGGTATGATATATGCTATATATATTTTACTTATTTTGTGAGTGATTACAATTATTAAACAAAATAACAGTCTTTTCCAGGAGTTGTGGAATCATTGAAAATTGTAACCAGAACAAAAACAGAACGTATTGCACGTTTTGCTTTTGATTTTGCACTTAGGAATAATCGAAAAAAGGTTACATGTGTCCATAAGGCTAATATTATGTATTAAATGTTTCCAAGTAAAATTATGATTTTAAGTATTATTTAAATTTATGCTGACGTTATTTAATTTAATAGGAAACTTGGTGATGGTCTATTCCTTAATACATGTCGTGAGGTTGCTAAAGATTATGAAGCCTCAGGAATTAAATTCGATGACATGATCGTTGATAATTGTTCTATGCAATTGGTTTCAAAGCCACAGCAGTTTGATGTCATGGTTATGCCTAATTTATATGGTAATATCGTAAGCAATGTTGGTGCGGCACTTGTCGGTGGACCTGGAATTATTCCTGGCGCAAATATAGGTCGGGAATATGCCTTATTTGAACCGGTAAATAGAGTGATACCCTATTAATATAATGTATCTTATTATGGCTAGTAATATGAATATCGATTTTATTTTTAGGGCTGTCGTCATGTTGGTAGAGATATCCAAGGGAATAATACTGCTAATCCTACGGCTTTAATCCTTTCCGGAGTAATGATGTTACATCACTTAGGTCTCGGGGATTACGCTAATAGGATTCATAATGCTGTGAAACAAACGATAAAGCGAGGAGCGGTAAGAAAATTTCAACTTTTGTAATGCACTTATTTATATAATTGATCTCTTTTCATATTAATAAATGTGGTTTTGTTTTAAATAGGCGAAAACACCTGATATGGGTGGTACATCTTCAACTACCAATTTTACATTATCAGTTATTTCTAATTTGTAACTGAACCATTATTTGGAATCAAATAGTGAATAATATTTATTATCGATTAATTAATGTTGAGGTTTCAAAAGTTAAATTACAATGCTACATGTAATATTTATTGATTAATGCACGGTTTGTTATATATGACGTTTTCTAAAAGGCAATTACCAATTGTACACTAGTATATATACACGGGGTATTGTTATTTCTCAAAATTTTAATTATAAAACCGCTTCGGGGGTTATAATTCTAAAATTTTAACAATAAACTATAACCATAACCCTTTCCAGCCCTACCCTAAC